ACTAGTAAGGAACAAAAATTTCATTTTCAAAACATAGTGCAGGGATCCTAAGAAAGGAGCACTGAATCTATGAAACTCCTACTTGCACTTACAATGCCTAGAAAGACAGGAAGGTATATTACATTTCTAAGAACACCAAAAAGGAAACCTCCTGAAGTGAAATGGACACTATGGGAAACGGTGACTTGATCAGCATAGCCCTGACTGGTAATGAACAACTTAATACATTATCCCTCTTAGTAGTTTTTTTTGTCTGTTCTACTTAATATGACTGGTTTAATTCTGTAATTAATACACAGTTATTCTTAAGTGTTGAAAATTAACTGAAATGTGATCCCTGTTAAACATAAGAGTGGGAATAAGAGAGGGAAGAGATGTATAATTTGGGACATGCTCAAGCTGACTTGCCCCAAATGGTAGAGTTAGAAACATACCAGGGGATTCCAATTCAATCCCATCAAAGTGGCCTGTACCAATGCCATCTCACTATTCCAAGTGATCAATTTCAGTTCACAATTGATCATAATGAAAGGACTAAGAGTCAAAGGGAGCACATAAACAAGTCTAGTACCTGCTAACACTAACCGATAGAATAAATAAAGGGGAGAGTGATCCAACATGGGAAGTGAGATACTCAGCAGACTCATAGAATGGCAGATGTCCTAAATAGCACTCTGGCCTCAGAATCAGCCCTAAAGGCATTCGGATCTGGCTCAAAAGCCCATGAGAGTATTTCAGGCATGGAAAGCCAAGACACTCTGGCAAAAGATCTCTGTGAGTGAGTTCCCAGTGGAAAGAACAGGTCTTCAAAGAAGGAGGTACCTTTCTCTGAAGGGAGGAGAGAACCTCCACTTTGACTATGACCTTGTCTAAACAAGATAAGAGTCGGAGAACTCAGAGGGCTTCCATAGCCTTGGAAACTCATGACTGGAGCATAGGGAGATTACTGATGCCATAGACAGGAGTGTCAATTGGTAAAGTCAACAACAGGAGTCACTGTGCACTTACTCCTCATGTAGGATCTCTGTCCTTAATGTGCTGTGCATTGAGATTTAATGCTATAACGAGTACTCAAACAATATAATTCACTTTGTGTTTCTATGGGGGCGCAAACTGTTGAAATCTTTACTTAATGCATACTAAACTGATCCTCTGTAAAAAAAAAAAAAAAGAAATTATCAACTCCCAACTTGACTCTCACTGGGATTAAACATGACAATAGGTCTGATCTGATTTCATCATCATTTAAAAAAAATCATCTATTATTTTTCACTTTATGTTTCTGTGTGGGAGCAAACTGTTGAAATCCTTACTTAATGTATACTAAGCTGATCTTCTGTATATTAAGATAATCGAAAATGAATCTTGATGTGAATGGAAGGGGAGAGGGAGTGGGAAAGGGGAGGGTTGTGGGTGGGAGGGACGGTATGGGGGGGAAGCCATTGTAATCCATAAATCGTACTTTGGAAATTTATATTCATTAAATAAAAGTTAAAAAAAAAGAAAGCTAATCTCACTGTTGGTAAATAAGAAGCCTGAGGATGGTGTAGATCTCCTTTTCCTATAGATCAATTCATGAAGTCCTCTTTGGACACTCTGGAATGTCCATCTCACCTGGCTCCCTCAACTAACACTCATGCATATCTACCTTTCTTTCCCTGCAGCTGCTCTGCTACTTTGCTACTGCTTTGGCTCCGATGGGATCCACGTATAGAGCTGTCAGCGACTTTAAGGTTTTATGCATCACCAAAGAAAGCTGAATTTAGATGTTCAAGGCAAAGCTCTGAAGCATCAACTGACTCTATGGGAGCTAAAGCTACACCAAGGGTCCAAATTTTTTTTTTTTTGACAGGCAGAGTGGACAGTGAGAGAGAGAGACAGAGAGAAAGGTCTTCCTTTGCCGTTGGTTCACCCCACAATGGCCGCCGCGGCCGGCGCACCGCGCTGATCTGATGGCAGGAGCCAGGTGCTTCTCCTGGTCTCCCATGGGGTGCAGGGCCCAAGCACTTGGGCCATCCTCCACTGCCTTCCTGGGCCACAGCAGAGAGCTGGCCTGGAAGAGGGGCAACCGGGACAGAATCCAGCGCCCCAACTGGGACTAGAACCCGGTGTGCCAGCGCCACTAGGCGGAGGATTAGCCTAGTGAGCCACGGTGCCGGTCAAGATTTTGACATAGAAGCATTACCAGCTGGGATACACTGGAGAAGTTTTTAAAATCCCCATTTCTCAGTTTCCTCATTTATAAAAGATGGACAGGAATAGTACCCAGAATAGAGTTTTTGTGAAGACTGAGTAATTTTACAGGTATAGTATTTAAATGAATATCTGGAAAAAGTAGTCCCTCCTTTTTTCTTCTATTTTGAAATGTGTATAAAACTAATTCTTTCACAAGTAGTTATTTCTTTTTTTTTATTTGACAGGTAGAGTTATAGATAGTGAGAGAGAGACAGAGAGAAAGGTCTTCCTTCCGTTGGTTCACTCCCCTAATGGCCGCCACGGCCGGCACTATGCCAATCTGAAGCCAGGAGCCGGGTGCTTCCTCCCAGTCTCCCATGTGGGTGCAGGGACCTAAGCACTTGGGCCATCCTCTGCTGCCCTCCTGGGCCACAGCAGAGAGCTGGACTGGAAGAGGAGCAATGAAGACCAATACCCGATGCCTCAACGGGGACTAGAACCCAGGGTGCTGGCATCGCAGGCGGAGGATTAGCCAAGTGAGCCACAGCACCAGCCACAAGTTGTTATTTCTTCTCATGGCACACAGTTGATATGCTTTATGCTAACAAAATCTCTCTTGCCCTCCTCTTTTATCCTGAATTTTACAAACTGTCTCTTTGCTATGCACTTAACTATCCCCTCAAATTTCAGCTGTTGAATCCTTTACTCCCAATGTGATGACATGTGGAGATGAGGACTTTAAAAGTATTAGGTTTGTATCAAGATATGAAAATGGGGTCTTCAAATTTGATTCAGTCCCCTTCTAAGAAGAGACATCAGAGAGCCGGGTTTCTGAATCTCAATCTTTCTCTCTCTCTCTTTTTGTGTTTGTGTGTGTGTGTGTGTGCGTGTGTACACAGCAAGAGAATAACTATTTTCAAGCAAGGAACACCAGATATAGACTGACACCTTGATCTTAGATTTTCCATCTCCAGAACTGTGAGAAATAAATTTCTATTGTTTAAACCCCTTGGACTACAGTATTTTCTTACTGAGCCTGAGCCTTAGAGGGTGGGAGGGAACGAGTGCACAAAAAGCCTACCTGATTATATGAAACAAGGCATGCCCCTTTTTTCAAGCTAAATCCCTGGCTAATCACAAAGGGAACAGCTCATATCTCTGTATAAGTCAAATAGTAAGAATTAGAGAGTTTATGTCAGAAGATTGATCCAGTGGGAAATCCTTAGATCCTGCCCTTGTAAGCACCACAGAAGTATTTGCTATTATTTTAAGTATACTATACATGTATCATTGTATTTAGGGTAGTGAGGAATGACAACTAGAAGAACAATTCAGAAAGGAAGACATCATGCATAGAAGCCTAAACATTCGCAGAAAACTAAAAATTCCAGAGAAGCAGGAAATCAAAGGCTGAGGCCACTAAGCAAAATAGAAGCCTCAGTAAACAGATTTGAGGATTCCTAAGCAAGTGACATCTGGTCACACCAGTTGGCTGCTACTATTGTGCTCTCTAGAGTCTGAATATGGGTATTTTAGAAAGGAGGCACTTGCAACAGAGAGCGATGAAAAACTGAAAAACAGAAAAATGAACTTTACCTGCAGTAAGAAAAGAATGAAACCCACAGATCCTTTCTTGGAACTGTTCTTGCAAGGGCATGAGAAGAGGCCTAATCCCATTGATTAGGAATCACAGCGCTTTGTATGAACACTTGGATCATCGTAACTTCCTAGGAATAGCTGGCAACAAGGAGCCTGAAGTAAATGTTTGATTTTGGAGCAGTGAGGACTACAAGATATATAATACCATAAACCACCTTAAAATTAGAGCAATTCCCATAATATAGGCTTAAGTAGATTGGAAATTAAGGAATCTAAGAATATGGGAACAAATTAATGAACAAGTACATGCCATCCATGTAGAAATGGGTTAGCAAGTGGATGGTTCTAGTTACCTTGAAGTAAATAAACAGGGTAAAATGACTTGTCAACTGACTCAGGGTGATACTTCCAAGCCATGGAAATACATTTAATGACAAAGATCCAAACAAAACGAACTTCAGAAACAATGCAATGTAAAGCAACACAAAGCATCTGGACATCATGATTAGAATGATAATAAGAGAAATATACTCATTGCTAATGTTTTATTATTTCTACAATTTAGTTAGCATGTGCTATACGCTAGGTACCTTATAATTCACTCAAAATAATTGTACATAATAACTATTATTCTCATATAAGAAATACAATGTTCTAATGAATATGTAAGTCATATAAATATGTAAGTTAATAGATAATTTCACATAGATCTTATAACTAGTAAATTAAAAGGTTTGGAATTGATTCTAGGTTGTTACGCTCCAAAAGATTGATTTTTCACTGTATCAACATAACTAGCTTGCATGAATTAAAGCATAATAACAAATTAAAGTGATCTTTTTTGAATACGTCAGATAGTTATGAGATGCCGTTCTAGTCACTGAGTAAAAGAGAGAAAAAAAGGGATACTGTAAAGTACATTGAAATAGAGAATGCTTGTTTCAGGGAGCACTAACCCAACATCAAAAGGTGTGCATGAAGGATGACTGCCAGTTAGATTCCAGAGTCACGGAAATTGAATGAAACTAGAGCAATTTCGGAGAAAAAAATTTTAAGGGAAAATTTCTAACTGAAAAGTGACTAGAGACCAATATTACAGTATGTTCCAGACCAGTAGTCAGGTCCTTAGATCCCCAGCTCTGGTCCTTTTACTTATTAACCTTCTAGGGATCTTGATCACTCCTGGGATTCTATGACTCTGTGACTCTATGGTTCTGTAATTCTAAGATAAAGCACAAAAAATGCCAGTGTTCCAGACAGCCTCTGGACAGTAAAAGAACATGATCTAGACTGAAGAACCAGACAAGTCATTTTCCTCCAGTTCAAAATATCAACTATACCATCATGAACTCAAGAGATGCACACAGTCCTGTGTTTTTGATATTTCCTCCAGAGATCACTGTTCCGGATTATCAATCAACAGTCATTACAGCTACATCCTATGAGTCTCAAAGCCCCTTGGAGAAATTACTTGTTGGAAGAATGAAAATCTCAGGGGTAAGAATTATTCCAAGTAAGTTCTATTAAGGGTGGGAAAAGGATAGGAAAAGATATCTGATGACACATGTTTTAAGGTAGGAGTCAATTCTGACTTATCCTCACTCAACTCAGGAAGTATGGATTATATTTCTATACTAATTAAGAACAAGCAAAGGTTTCTGGGCTCTTTAAAGTCAGTCTCCTAAGTATCTGTGATATTTTTCTTTCAAAGAAAGGAAACTGAAAATCAAGCAGAAGGCAACAGTCTAGATTCTATATCCTGGGTTATTATATACTACAATTTTATAGTTGCCCAATCAAAAACCAGAATTCACAATTTGATGACATGACAAATATGTATATTTTTATATATGGGGCTTTTGCAGAATGTCCTCTTAATACCATAAGCATTCTGCTCTTTATCCATCCACCTATTTACTCCATAAACAGCAATTTACTTTTATTTACCAAATTGTAACCAAGATAATAAGGGGAGGTTGTAATGTGGCCCTTATCTTCTAAAACATCTTCCCTTTCAATCCTCAGCCTCCAAGAATTGAAAACTCAAAGAAATTAGTCTTTTTCAGAAATAAAAGTAGAGAAAACATAGCTCACCAACATACAGAAGAGGGCTATACACCCATACTGCTTGAGCATCTATTCTTATTTAAGAGAATCTTAACCTCTGCTAAAGAGCTCAAGTTATTTTAACAAATAGTTATTGAATTTTGTGCAAAGAACTGTGTTAGACACCATAGGGGATGCATAAATAAACACAATATAGTTTCTTTCATTGAGGAGGAGAAATATATAGATTTGAAGTAATAATAAAATGAAAACATTAAAAACTACATTTCGGTGGAGCATCTAGTAAGAGCCATAAATGGTGGTAGTGATGGGAGGATCCAGAAAGAGAGAGAGAGAAAGTTACTTTCAGCCAAGAGATGAGACAACTTCACCAAATATTTGGCATTGAATCTGGGCTCTGAAGAAGTGATGTGATTTCAGCCAGTGAAAACAAAAAGCAAGGAGGGGAGCAGAATATTCCCAATGGAGAAAGCATCATTCATAAATGCATGGAATAGTAGAGGTTGGAAATGAGAAAGGAAAGCTAGGAGAAATCAATCTGGGATGAAAAGATGTGAGAGGATCGAAAATATAGGAAATAAGAAACAATTAGGATGGGAAAGATAAACCACGGTAAATCACACAACTGAGTATTATTCAGTGCTTAAAGAAGTGCACCATCCAGCCACTAAGAGATACAGAGGAGCCTTAAACACACGCTGCTGCATGAAAAAAGGTCAGCTTTAAAATGCTACATACTGCATGATTCCAGCTATATGGCGTTCTGGAAAAGATAAAAGTATGGAGACAATAAAAAGATCAGTGACTACCAAGAAATCTGCAGGAGGCAGGTAGTAACGAACAGGCAGAGCACAGAGGATTTTAGGGCCAGGAAAAGTATGACACTGACACTATTGTAGTAGATCCATGTCAAAACTCAGACAATGTGCAGTACAATGAACTAAGCCTAATGTAAACTGTATGCTTTGGTTGACTATGTGTCATCAACTGTAACAAAAATACTCCACTGACATGAGATGTTGCTCATAGCAGGAATGGCTGAGTGGAGTAAGCTGCAAGGTAACTTTCTGTGCTTTATCCTCTATTTTGCTGTGAATCTACAACTGCTCCAAAATATAGTATTCATTAATTTGGACAAAATGGTAAGTATGGAAAATTCTATGTTGTGTATCTTACCATGTTAAAAAGAAACACACACACACACACACACACACAAAATGAGGCCAGCATTATACTGTAGTGGGTAAAGTGGCCACCTGCAATGCCAGCATCCCATATGGGCACCATTTTAAGTCCCAGCTGCTCTACTCCCAATCCAGCTCCCTCCTAATTGTCTGGAAAAAGCACTGGAAGATGGTTCAGGTGTTTGGGTCCTGCCACTCCTATGGAGACCCGGATGAAGCTCCAGGCTCCTGGCTTCAGCCTGGTCCAGCCCTTTCCATTCTGTAGCCATTTGGGGAATGAAACAGTGGATGAAAGATCTTTCTCACTCTGATCTTCAAATAAATCTTGTCTTATTTTTAAAGATGTATTTATTTATTTTAAAGGTGGAGTTCACAGAGAGAGGGGGCAGGAGAGAAAGAGATGATCTGTTTGCTTGTTCACTGCCAGTCCTCCAAGCCTACTGAAGCATTATCACATTCCTGGACCCAGAGCACTCCATATCTTTGGCTTATTTGTCTTTCTCCCTGCCACTCAAATCTTGTGGTAAAAGAAATTCATTCAGAAAAGAGTTTTAAAGAATACACATTTCTAGCTTCCAACTCTCTCAAAACTGTGGTTCAGCAGTTTAGGTTTGAGGCCTCGGGACTTGGTGTGTATTTCCTACAGCTTGTTTGCTTGTTCTAATAATTATGTGGATTGGTAATTAATTATCTCACTTTATAACATCTGTAAGAATGGAATATAGAAGTTTCATTCTTGGCAACTGGGTTTCTGGTTTTCCTGTTCATATTTCTGGTTGTTTTCTTAGTTTCTAAATATTTATTTTATATGTGTGTCTGTGCGTTTATGTGTATTTTAAAAGATATACTTGAGGGGCTGCTGTTGTGGCATAGGGGATCAAGGTACAGACTACATGCCAACATCCCATATGGGTGCTGGTTTGAGTGCCAGATGCTTGATTTCTGATCTGCTAATGTCCTGGGAAGGCAGTGGAAGATGGCCCAAGTACTTTCTGATCGTCTACTTCTGTTTGAGTCCAAGCCTATATGGTGATTTAGAATTCAGTGCTTCTCAGATGTTCACAATAATATAGAGCATTTCACAAACCACTAAATATCAGATGCAGGGATTAATAAAAGGCCCAGGAGCACTGCCAGTGGAATTCTACTGTCCTTCCCTAACTTACAAAAAAAAAGTAACCGCATTTTTCCCGAAAGAAGATATTCTACATGGAAGAGAACCCACCACTTTGCTTTTCCCTCACTGTGACTTCTTTTATTTACAGACTCTCCAGATCCTGCTTGGAATTATGAACTTTTCTTTTGGAATGATTTTCCTTTTCACTTTGGTACAACCATACCCAAGGTTCCCCTTTATATTTATTTCAGGATATCCATTCTGGGGCTCTGTTTTGGTGAGTATAATCAACCAAGGATGTTAGGGAATTCTTAGTTACAAAATAAACCAGATTTGGCTATAGGAGAAGCTTTGAAAAGAGGGAGGGGGTGCCCAAACATTACCTTTATTGAAATCATTTCCCCAATAATTCATCAGAGTTAGTAATATACCATCACTGGGTCTTGAAGTTTCTTTGGGAATTTTCTTTTATGTCTTGAAGTTGCTCGTTTCTCTGTTCATCCATTCAGAATTACTTATTATCCATTATAAGCCACATATAGAAAGAAAGGTAATGAGAATCCAAAGGTTAGTACATAATCCCTTCCTTCAAAGGGCTCTCCGTCTAGCAAGAAAGAAAACATGCAAAGGCAGTGTGATAAATGATTGTTATGCATGCTCAGAAAGCAAGCAAAGATGAAAATGCACTTTATTCTTTAAAGAAGTTGGGAAGTCACTTCTCAGATATGCCTTTTTTGCACAGAGGCATTTAATGTAGCACATTTAGAAACATTCAATAATCATTAATTTAGCACCCAACTCAGTGCCAGAGAATGGACAGGCTGAGGGCATGGACAGAATGGAAAGAAAAGGTCAGTCCTTTGTCCTTCCCCTGTAAGTGGGAAGTCAGATATTTTCCACAGTGTATGATGAGTAACGATAGGCAGAGGGGCTGCCTCTACAGGAAAAACACCTAATTAGGGAGGATACTGCCCAGAAATATTTCCAGTTTGACCGAGTTTTAAAGGTTGAGTGACGAGTCAAGTGAGGACACACACAAAAGAAGGGGATAAGGAATGCTTGGGTGTAAAGGCTGGGGATGCCTTGCAGCCCACCAAGGGAGAAGCAGGAGCAAGGATGGACATATGGCAAAGAGTCTTCTTATTCTGTGAACGATACTGATTCAGCATAAAGAGTAAGGGTTGAACTGATGAGCTACCAAAATATTACCAAATTTAAACGTGGGTTATTATCATCATATTTGAAGTTTCCATTAGATAAAATGCTCTGCATTTGACTTATCTCCATGGAAATTCTTTTTTTTTAACTTTTATTTAATGAATATAATTTCCAAAGTACAGCTTATGGATTACAATGGCTTCCCCCCATAACGTCCCTCCCACCCGCAACCCTCCCCTTTCCCACTCCCTCTCCCCTTCCATTCACATCAAGATTCATTTTCGATTCTCTTTATATACAGAAGATCAGTTTAGCATACATTAAGTAAAGATTTCAAAAGTTTGCTCCCACACAGAAACATAAAGTGAAAAATACTGTTTGAGTACTAGTTATAGCATTAAATCACAATGTACAGCTCACTAAGGACAGAGATCCTACATGAGGAGTAAGGGCACAGTGACTCCTGTTGTTGACTTAACAAATTGACACTCTTGTTTATGGCCTCAGTAATCACCCTAGGCTCTTGTCATGAGCTGCCAAGGCTATGGAAGCCCCATGAGTTCACCAACTCTGATCATATTTAGACAAGGCCATGGTCAAAGTGGAAGTTCTCTCCTCTCTTCAGAGAAAGGTACCTCCTTCTTTGATGACCCATTCTTTCCACTGGGATCTCACTTGTGGAGATCTTTCATTTAGGTTTTTTTTCCCCCCAGAGTGTCTTGGCTTTCCATGCCTGAAATAGTCTCATGGGCTTTTCAGCTGGATCCGCATGCCTTACGGGCTGATTCTGAGGCCAGAGTGCTGTTTAGGACATCTGCCATTCTGTGAGTCTGCTGTGTATCTCACTTCCCATGTTGGATCATTCTCTCCCTTTTTGATTCTATCAGCTAGTATTTGCAGACACTATTCTTGTTTACATGATCCCTTTGGTTCTTAGTCCTATCATAATGATCATACCAGGGGATTCCAATTCAATCCCATCAAAGTGGCATGTACCAATGCCATCTCACTAGTCGCAGTGATCAATTTCTGTCCATGGAAATTCTTGCAACTGTTTTTCAGAATTACTAGCATATGAGTTGCATCACCGCTTTATGTCCTTGTCCAATGAAACCCATTAGATGCAATAAGACAGAATCGATCTTATTGGCTATAAACTGATTTGACGAATGTCTGATGCTATCAAGGCTGAGTCAACAATGGCTACATAGGAAGATGGATGACAGAACTAAAACCCAGTGAAGTTTTAAAACTTCTCATGTTCACACAAATTATTTTAGCTAAATAATTGACTTCTAATCCAACATTTAGTTTACAGTTCACTGTGAACATCATACAAGGCAGCTTACCCTTCTCACTGCCTTGAGGATTGTGATCTCAAGGAGAACATAGAAAGGAAATGTGCAGAGGTCTATTCTGTCAAAACTCCTTAACTTTAGCTACAGATGTTCATCACTAAGATATTTATTCTTTTCAACAGTTCATTAATTCTGGAGCTTTTCTAATTACATTGAAGAGAAAAATGACAAAAACTCTGGTGAGTTATATTTCTATCTCATTAATAATGAAGGATCTCTGTCCTTAATGTGTTGTACTATGTGAATTAACGGTAAAACTACTACTTAAACAGTACTGTATACTTTGTGTATCTGTGTTGGGTGTAAACTGTTGAAATTTTTACTTAGAATATATGAAGTTGATCTTCTGTATATAAAGATAATTGAAAATTAATCTTGATAAAGAATGGGATGAGAGAGGGAGTGGAAGATGGGATGGTTGCGAGTGGGAGGTAGGTTATGGGGGGGAAAGCCGCTATAATTTGAAAGTTGTACTTTAGAAATTTATACTTATTAAATAAAAGTTGGAAAAAAGTATAACTTTAAAATAATTTATTCTAGCCTTGAAAGTTAATTTAGAAAGTTATTAGGCCACTAATAATTCCATAAACTGCTAATGATACTAATCAATGGCTTCCTGCCTTCATAGAATCATAAATTAGTGCCAAAAGAGCATTTTCAAGGCTATCCAGTTGATTTCTTTTTTTATGTATGAAGACACTGAGGTATAGAGTAATTCAATGACTTATCCAGTTGTGCCAGTCAATTAATGATAGAATAGGCATCAATATTCCAAGTATCACATTAATTCATTCTTTCTGAAAGTATTTGTGATACCTATTGCATTATGAACATTTTGACAGGCACTAGTTTGTTTGCCTCATATGAAAGACACACTATAGACAACTTAATTAAATCCTATGCCAAATTTGGAAATAAAGAATATACTAGGAAATAAAGAATACACTGTTATGTTGACTAGGTTTAGCCTAGTGGTTAAGATATCCATATCCCACATCAGAGTACCTGGGTTTGTTAGCTGGTTTCGGCTCCTGACTCCAGCTTCCTACCAGCGTAGACCCTGGGAGACAGCAGTGATAGCTGAAGTAATTGTACAGATAGTCACATCAGAGACCTGGATTGCATTTCTGGCCCCTGACTTCCAGCTGTTACAGGCATTTGTAGAGTGAACCAGCAAATGGGAGCATTCTCTTTCTCTCTCTCTCTCTCTCTCTGAATTAAATAAACCAATAATTTTTAAAAGGGTTAAACTATTAATGAGTGTAAAATTATAACTTGTAGATAAATTATAAGCAAAATATTTTATTAATGCAAAGAATTAAAGTAAATTAATAAGTCAATAAATTATTTTTGGCCAAAAAATCTCCTGTAAGTTTGTAGTTATAGGAAGAAATAACAATGGCAAAGAAACTCAACTGTTAAACACAACAGTTCTTAAAACAAAACCACAGATAAGCCATGACTTTCATTAGAGCATCAAAATGCAATGCAACACATCCTATACCTCTTTTGTTCTGTGTGCTCTCCTATCCCCAACTGGGTGGGAGGTAACTTAGGCACAGAATGGGATGCAAAAAGTTGTTACAAGTTCACTGGATCCCCTTATTCTGTAGAAAAGGTCCTGAAGCCCAAAGAAACGAGATTTGCACACATTCACACAGCTGGTCTGTGGCACTTTAAGGCTCCTAAGCCTGCCCTCTGGGCTCCCCAGTCCATCGCTTTGTCTCTGGTGAGTCACTGTGTTATGTTCTTATTCTATTTCAGATGAAAGCAAGCCAAATAATGAATTCTCTTAGTGTTCTGGGAGCAATAGCTGGAATCATTCTCCTCATATTTGGTTTCCTTCTAGACCAAAACTACATTTGTGGTTATTCTCAAGAAAGTGATGAGTGTGATGCTATTACTGTGATATTCACTGTAAGTATTTGCATTTTTTGATTGAGGAGTAAATGGCTTATTCAGAAAGATTTTTAAGTACCATCAAGATAATGTTGTGGGCATACATTTTTTTTTATTTCACCAACACATGAAACCCATAAACCAAGCATTATAAAATAAAAAAGCACATTGTAATACCCACCTTGAGGAATTCACATAAGACACAAAATATGTACACAAATAATTATAAATATAAGGTGATAAATATAACAGTGTGTTGTGGTTCATAATCCTAGAGGTACATTAGAATCTCAAATGGAATGTTCTTATGGTTTTTTATTTGGTCTTGTTATTTAGACTGGACTTACGAAAAAGTATAGTGGGCTTAAAACAAACATTTATGTTTGCTTATTAAAATTAAGATAAAGGAATGTAAAAAATACATTGCCACATAGAATAAGAAAGAGAAGACGTATCAAAAGTTCCTGAGAAAACTAAAAAGTACCTAAGGAAAAGGGGGATCCTAATGGAAGTAATATATTAAGCAATATATTTCATATGGCAGATTCTAAGAAACACTAGTATTTTAATGTGCTAGGACCACAGAAAGTAAAGGTGGAAAAGAGAAACTAGGGAGTCTCATCTTATAATGGTGAAGTGGAATATCTGAATCAACCTTTCTTTAAAGCAAAAATGCTACATTAAAAAAAAAAAAAACAGAGGCTGGCACTGTGGTGCAGTGGGTTAAAGCTCAACACGGCAGCATAGGCATCCCATATGGGCGCCATTTCAGGTTCCAGCTGCTCCACTTTGTAACTTTGCTAATGTGCCTGTGAAGGGGGCATAGGATGACCCAAGTCCCTGGAACCCTGAACCCATGTGGCAGACCCGGAGGAAGCTTCTGGCTCCTGGCTTTGGATCAACTCAGCTCCAGCCATTGTGGCCATTTCAGGAATGAGCCAGCAGATAAAAGACCTTCTCTCTCTTTATCTCTCTCTGTAACACTGTCTTTCAAATAAATAAAAATAAATTTAAAAAAGATCTCTTTAAAGATAATACTAGAAATACTAGATTATTTTTTAGATGAAAGCCAATTATCTCAAATTTATAAATGAAATGCTGAAGAGTGAGAAAGTGACTTATGCTTTAAAGCCATTTTGGCAATGTTTCCCATTTGGAATCTGATCCATGTGAAATGAAAGAAAAAGAAGTCAAAGCTCAGAGTCTACTCAAGACTGGAGACTTAGAAGATACCTTCTACAAATGACCTAGACTGCTGATACTACTACACTCCTCATGTAAGAACAAAGAGCCACACAAAGTACCTGCCCAATAACAACAAAAAAGAATTTCTGAACAAAGTGAATAAAGTAAAAGTATTTGAGAAATTTTAGCCACAAACCAAGTCCGCTGACAAATTCGTCCTATCTCACCCTCAACAGATAGAAGTAACAAAGCCTGTGTTCCATTTCATAGTGGGGATGACTAAAGTTCATAATAATTTATTATATGATAAAGAAACAACTAGAAGAGAAGAGCTGAGTTCAAACACAAAAGGTTCTAAACATGAAAGTAAGGAAATGGAAAAGCAAGTTGCCTGGTTTGATCATTTTATGGTATATATTTGTGTTGAAATACTATGTTGAGGGGCTGCCGCTGGGTAAAGCTGCTGTCGGCAGAGCCGGAATCCCATATGGGTGCTGACTTGAGTCCTAGCAACTCCACTTCCAATACAGCTCTCTTCTATGGCCTGGGAAAACAGTGGAAGATGGCCCAAGTCCTTGGGCTCCTGCACCCATGTGGGAGACTCAGAAGAAGCTCCTGGCTCCTGGCTTCAAATGCGTCCAGCTCTGGCCATTGTGGCTATTTGGGGAGTGAACCAGTGTATGGAATACTGATTCTCTCTCTCTCTGTCTCTCTCTCATTCTCGTTATCTGCTTCTGCCTGTCTGTAACTCTGACTTTCAAATAAATAAACTTTTAAAAAAAAGAAATATTGTGTTGCACTCCCTAAAATGTACAAGTATTATATGTTAGTCAAAAATGTTATAAAATAATAAAGGAGAGGGTGAAGTAAATAATGAAGAGCAAATAAAAGTTACCACAAAAGAAGTAAGGTTTTTAACATGAGGTATTTTCAGCTCTACAAAAGAAATCTCACTGTTTTCTCATAAATTTTTTCCATCACCATATTTATTCAGTTATATCTATCTTTTTATTTAAATATATCTCAATAAAGTTTACCTTAAAGAAAAAAGAATTAAATCATATTTCACGGAGATAGGAAATACAAAAAAAAAGGACAGAGGTATTAAACAGACAGTGAAAAGGTCTAACATAAATTGGAACAAGGCAGTCAAAGTTGGAGAAAACAGAGTAGCTTTTCAAGTCATGGTTTCTGTTTCATTCCTCAATTCTTGGCCATCTTACCTAAAACCAAAAGAATTAAACTTTTAAAAAATGATACCAAAAAAGGTACAAAAAGGCAAAAGGAAAAGTTACTACACTGAGAGATAACTTCTCCAAAGCAGCAATAGTAAGAAGACAACTGGATATTTCCATGTGCTGGCAAAAGTTACTGCCAACAAATGATCTATCGTTGTCCATTAAAATGTCCCACAAAGAAGAAGGAGAAATGAAGAATTTCAGAGATGCAAAAACTGAGTTTGCGTCCTGAAGGTCCCCTTCAGCATAAAAGGTATAAGAAAGGATAAACTCTGAACAGAAGGACGATTACAACACAAAATGGAAGAAGAAACTAAGAACAAAGACTATGATAAAAATGTAAGCAAGTACAAATGAATATCACTTGAATATACATATGGATTTTAAAGATAAACATGCAAAATAGCAGAAAACATTCATATATAAGGGCAGATGGAAGAAAACTGTATTTTTTATATTTGCTATGTTTCATAAACTTTAGATATTGGTAATTTAAGTATGTTTTAATGCTTATAGCACTTTCAAGAACAAGAATCTATATATAGTAGATATATTTAGTCTACTATACCCCAAAACAACAGAATATACATTTCTGTAGTGCATACTAAGAAAAAAATAAGCAGGCATTGAAAATAAAACACAGATTAAAACCAAAGAATGAAGTCCTACAGTGTATGCGCTATGCAATAAAACCATACACAACCATGAAATAATTTCAAACCCCTTACATGGTCATATGTTAAGCTATATACTTCCGAGTTTCATTTGTGAAGGGACAATATACTCTAGAATTAGAGGAAAAGGAAATAAACTAGCCTTTTTTTTTTTTTTTTGACAGGCAGAGTGGACAGTGAGAGAGAGAGAGAGAGAGAGAAAGGTCTTCCTTTTGCCGTTGGTTCACCCTCCAATGGCCGCTGCGGCCGGCGCGCTGCGGCCGGCGCACTGCGCTGATCCCATGGCAGGAACCAGGTACTTATCCTGGTCTCCCATGGGGTGCAGGGCCCAAGCACTTGGGCCATCCTCCACTGCACTCCCTGGCCACAGCAGAGAGCTGGCCTGGAAGAGGGGCAACCGGGACAGAATCCGGCGCCCCGACCGGGACTAGAACCCGGTGTGCCGGCGCCGCAAGGTGGAGGATTAGCCTAGTGAGGCGCAGTGCCAGCCATAAACTAGCCTTTTAAAATTGAAATTCATCCCTGAATTATGTTGATCAACATAAACTTTCCCTAACTTAACTATTAGATGGAAGAAAAATAATTTCTAGAGAAAAAGAGCATCATTTAGAATATCTACCATTTTCACACACAAGGTTTGATTAAAAATAATACCAGTCATGCCAGAAAACAGTACTGAAAGTGTAAAGTACAAATAAAAATTAGAGAAATGGAATACATATGTCAGAGTTATCAGACATAAACTTAAAAACAGCCATGGCTATTATGTTCAAGAAAGGGGGGCTGGCGGTGGCTCACTAGGCTAATCCTCTGCCTGAGGCACCGGCATACCAGGTTCTAGACCCAGTTGGGATGCCAGATTCTGTCCTGGTTGCTCCTCTTTCTGTCCAGCTCTCTGCTGTGGCGCGGGAAGGCAGTGGAGGATGGCCCAAGTGCTTGGGCCCTGCACCCAAATGGGAGACCAGGAGGAAGCACCTGGCTCCTGGCTTTGGATCTGCGTAGCTCAGGCCGTAGCGGCCATTTAGGGGATAAACCAACGGAAGGAAGACCTTTCTCTCTGTCTTCTCTCTAACTCTGTCTGTCAAAAAAGGGGGGGGGGGCAAATTGGATAATATTGCCAAAATACTGATATTAATGAGAAAGAATCAAAATGAATTTTAGAACTGAAATTTTTGAAATCTGATGTTAGGGGTTCAACAAATAGTGTCAATAGCATTCAGTAAGCATGTAAAAATGTGCTCAGTATTAATAGTCATCAAGGAAATGCAAATAAAATCAATATAAGACACCACTGTGGTGCCATGGCTCACTTGGTTGATCCTCCACCTGCACAGCCGACATCCCATATGGGTCCCGGGTTCTAGTCCTGGTTGCTCCTCTTCCAGTCCAGCTATCTGTTGTGGCCCGGAAAGGCAGTGGAGGATGGCTCAGGTGCTTGGGCCCCTGCACCCACATGGGAGACCAGGAGGAAGCACCTGGCTTCTGACTTCGGATTGGCCATTAGGGGAGTGAACCAGCGGAAAGAAGACCTTTCTCTCTGTCTCTCTGTCTCTAACTATCTATATCTCTACCTGTCAAATAAAAAAAAAAAAAAAAAAAAGGACACCACCACATCAGAATGACTTCAATGAAAATGACTGGCAGTACCAAGTGTTGGCAGGAACATGATGCAACTGAAAATCAGTTTTTCTGAGCGAGTGTAAAATGGTTCAACCACCTTGGAAAACTATTTGGAAGTTTTTTAACAAGGTAAAGCATATACATTTTATGACTCATAATATATTTAAGTATGTTCACAGTAGCTCTATTCATCCTAGTTACAATCTGGACTAACTCAAATTTCTATCAACACCAGATTGGTTAAACAAATGATAATTATTCAAATGATAGAATACACAGCAATTAAAAAAGAAAAAAAACCCTACAGATACATGGAACAACATGGGTGACTTTCTATTCATCACATTGAGCAAACAACTTTTGATACAAAATTTAATAAATGGTATTAGGAATCAGAAAAGTGGTTACCTCATCTGGGGCAGGAGGATTGACTGGGAGGGAACACAAACAACATAATGAAGGGGTGGAAATGTGCTTTATCTTGATCTGGAAAGCAAAACAAAACAAACATTTAAAAAGGAGGATACAGCACATTTCTTTACATATAAATTTTGCTATGTAAAAACTGGAAAATAACTTTAATGCAGATAACACAAAATTTTAATACTTTTGTACACAAAGTGCATATAACTGATAAGAAAAAGTCAAGAGCATAATTTATAAGTAGTAAGGAAAGGAATTTACAAAAAAAAAAAGCAAATCTAAGCCAAACTTGTTAATGTACACATTCGTAGCAGGGAAATGCCAGTTAACAATGGGTTTATAATTGCATTCATTACACTGGTAAAAATTAAAGAGCTATCAAAGTTATCACTGGCAAAGACATGGTGAAAAGGATACTATTACATCTGTATTTATCAGTGGTAGAAATGTGAAATGATACATTTTGGAAAGCAAGGAGATCTGGAATTAAATGAAAGACACATATGCTCTGTAAACCAGATTTTTAGCTCCACAGCAATTAAACCACCTATATATAAGGGTATATGTATAAGAATGATAGTATCCACAGTGCTCTAACAAACAACAACCCAGAAAAGAGAAGGAAGAGGAAATAAATTAGTTCCTGTTATTAAAGAATAAATGAATTATGGCACACTATACCATCAATGTGGCCATGAAAAACCATATCACTCTAAAGCGAGTACTTATTTAACCTATGGTTACATGGTAGACAAAAATGGCTATAGACAGAATGTTAACCATACTGACCCCTGAAATTAATATATAAAATATAAAATTTACATCCAAGGGGCTGGTATCATGGCACAGCAGGATAAGCCACCACTTGTGACCCCAGCATCCCATATTGGAGCATCAGTTTGAGTCTCTGCTCCTTCTCTTCCAATCCAGCTCCCTGCTAATGTGCCTGGGAAAGCAGCAGAAAATGACCCAAGCATTGGGCCCCTGCCACCCATGTGAGAGACCCAGGTGGAGTTCTGGGCTCCTGGCTTCAGCCTGGCCCAGCACTGACCTTCATGGCCATTTGGAGAATGAACCAACAGGATGAAGGATTTGATTTTCAATCTCTCTCTCTCTCTCTCTCTCTCCCCCACCCCTATAACTTGGCCTTTCAACTAAAATAAATAAATCTTTTGGAAATGAGTTCCCAGAAGATTACAAGCCTTAATGACATAGTGTTAGTGTCCAGCTTCTGGACTCCTGACTACAAGGTGACAAAACAGAAAACATTTTTTTTTTCCACAGGCAGAGTGGACAGTGAGAGAGAGAGACAGAGAGAAAGGTCTTCCTTTGCCATTGGTTCACCCTCCAATGGCCACCGTGGCCGGCGCGCCGCAGCTGGTGCACCGCGCTGATCCGAAGCCAAGAGTCAGGTGCTTCTCCTGGTCTCCCATGGGGTGCAGGGCCCAAGCACTTGGGCCATCCTCCACTGCACTCCCTGGCCACAGCAGAGAGCTGGCCTGGAAGAGGGGCAACCGGGACAGAATCCGGCGCCCCGACCGGGACTAGAACCTGGTGTGCTGGCACTGCTAGGTGGAGGATTAGCCTATTGAGCCGCGGCGCCGGCTAAAAACAGAAAACATTTTAAAAGTCCCAGAGGTGACATAAAGAACACAAGGTGGTACTCATTGCCCATGTTTCTTTTTATGTCTTTCCTTTCCCTGCTTGTTCCTCTTTTTCTGGGTCTATAAATTTTCATTTTTTCCTTCTTTTTCTTTCTTGTTCGGTTTTTGTCTCTTTTTCCACCACCTTTGTTATCACCGACCACTCTTTTCACATGGATTTCTTTATATCTTGATTTCTTTATGAAGTGTTTCTTATAAATTTAGAAAATATATTATTTTACACAGCTTTCTCTAAGAAAATAACATGATATTCTATGCTAGACAGGGCTAGGCTAGGAGTCCTTCACTCATTTGATTCCCAAGCATCAGAAACACTTGAGAGGCTTGCAGGAGACTTGACTTTGCCAACCCGATGACTGTATTTTTTCCCTTCTTCTGTTACAGGGAATTTTGATTATGTTGATGGTGTTAACCATTATCGAATTATTCATTTCCCTGTCTTTCTCGATTTTGGTGTTCCACTCAGAGGACGATGCTTGTGAGGAATGTTGTTGAAGAGCACTGTGAGAATAAAGATGTGTTATGACCATATTTAAAAAGGAATTCTGCCTGTGAGGAAAAGCTGAGAGGAACACAGACTCCTGAGAATGGCAACTCTCTGGAGTAAACGGGAGTGTCTCTGTAGCTGATGAAGCGTATCCTGCCCCTTGGTGGCACCACCTCCCTTGTCCCCAAATGGAATAGTCCACCTGTATGTCACTGCCTCTGTGAGTCATGCATTCTTTAAAGAGCAGCAGTGTGGTGTTGATTCTGCGCAGAGATTAAAGCCCAGAATCTGGGGTGACCAAGTCACCCAACGTCAGCGGCTTCCAACATTTCCTGCTGACTTTCACTAAGAGACTACATACAGCCTGTGGCTCCTCCTCTAATGTGGTGTGGAAAGATGAGCTGGGTGGAAGAATGATTTGTTCCACAGATTGTACATTGGTGCTGCCAGATCATCAGATAAGGAGTGCTCAACTAGATTCACAACAATGGTGAAAAACGTGAGGGCAAATATTGGAGTTATTACCACGTTCCAGGCGTCACACTAAGTGGTATACATGTACTCATTTAATCTCACAAAAATCCCAACAGGTAAATTGTGAGTTATATTCATCTTAGGTATAAGCAAGCAGAAGCACAGAGAAGGTCAAGGTCACAAAGGTTGCAATGGCAAGGTTGTAATAGTAACAGGTAGAGATCTTAATCCCTGTGCCAAAATTTCTTAAAATGGTTTGGTCTTAGAATCCTTTCACACCTTTAAACATTATTTGGGACTCAAATAACACAAATAATGCTTTACTGAAATAACCATAGTTTCCAAAAGAAAATAATTAGTGTAGAGAATGGCATTGATTTGTATTTTCACAAATCTCCTAAATGCACTGGTTCCTAAATTTTACTGCACATTCAAATCATCTGAGGAAATTTTATAAGCCCCAGTGCACCACATACCAATTAAATCAGAGTGCAATGAGAGGCATGCTTCAGTAGTTTTTAAGGCCTTCTAGGTGATTCCAAAATGATATTTGAGCTACTAATTTATTCTGGCTTTATGGAAGACAACTGGATTCTCCTATGGGCTTTTGCATTCAGTCTGTCATGGTACCTCATGTTCTGTAGCCTGCAGGGTACAACACTTCACCTTGTATAAAGGAGATGTAAGGGTTTAATATTAATGTGAAAAGTTTTGAGCTCACAAAGTCACTAAAGGGTCACAAGGACCCCAGGAAACTCCCAGACCACATTTTGAGAGCTGCTATCTTCCATTGTCTCCCACTACTAAGCATTAGAGATCTTACCTGTACCACCTCGTTGTCACACAGCTCTCCAAAGTAGGCTTGCCTTTTTGTCACAGACATGAACACTGACGCTCAAAGTGCTTAACTTTTCTGAGACTACAAAGGGAGTCCAACTTAGAATCAAATTGAATCAAGATCCCTAACTCCAAATCCCATTACCTGATGCTGGTTTAACAGACAATAAACCAGCCTATTCACAGACATAAAACAGGTTTTCACCTCTACTATAAGCTACAAGGAGCCTGTGTCTGTAAGCACACAGCCACATGTGCGAAGGTAAAGGATAGCAGGAGAAAAAAAATGTTAATTTTTCATTTCCAGTGAAATAAGCTTCTGATGAAAAATATGTTTCAATTTAGTGATGTTAAGGTTTGCAATATATTTAAGGGGGTTGGAATCCCTGACATATAATGGTAAGGGGCTTTAAGTCAGACCTCGATTTAATTGTCATTTGGCCATGTAAAACTGAATTATTTTAACAAACTCGTTAACTTCTGTGGGCTTTAAATCCAGAGACTAAATGCAATAATAATAATAATATACACCTAACAGACTTACTGTGAATGTTGAATATATGCAGTGATTTTTATCAGTGCCTGGAACTTAAAAACTATTTAGTAAATGGTACATTTTAAATATATATATATATATATGAGATTGTTTTACTTTCTAAACATAACTTATTTTATCACTTACTAGTTGTGTGATTTGGGGTACATTTCCCTCATTTCCGGAACTTAGTTTCCACAATCATCAAACAATCAATGCTGCATGTATTACAAGATTTTTATGCAGATTGTGCTTATCATAGAAAAAGGTATTTGGCTAACATTACTTTCCTAACCTTTGAACATGTAACGTGGTGCCTCAGAACAGAAAGAAGACCTCAAAAATGCATCACTCTTAAACACACAAATTTACTTTGTTCTTAGTATTATTTATTTCTGAGTGCAACATTGGGATCTTCTGACCAGCAACCAAATTTTATTTGCAACTGGATGTTTAGTCTCACTTCTGGGGCACTCATACCTCCTTGCCACATCTCTGAAACCAAAACCCCCTGACAGCAGACAATTCTGGGTGTCAGGACCCTGTTAAGCAGCTGGGAACATGCCATAACTTTACTTCCTAACACATACCAATCTGGTGACGATTACTCTGAGGGGAGAGAGAACCAAAGCAGAATCATTTCTCATAGCACTACAGAGGACAGAGCAATCAGAAAAGCCAGTCTTGATTTCAAGTGGCATGGAGGCTGCCAAAGGCTGAGGGAGAAAATGACACCAATCAACACAATGCAATATGTAGTTTTCATATGAGAGACAAACATTGCAAGAATTCAGATTTGGAAAAAAAATTATACCAGGCAAATAATAACTAAATAAAAGTTGGCATAATTTTATGTAGATTTTAAGAAAGAGATTGTCTTTTGGAAGCCAGAAGGCCACTAAATAAGAGGTTTAATTTAAAGAGAAATATTTTAAGTGTGCAATAGGCCTAATCAAATATCCCCAAGACATGAAAGAAGGTGGAGCACAGAAGGTGCTGTTGACAAATCCAATGTACTGAAGATTTCAACACAGTCAAGCACTAAAAAGACAATCATCCCAAGTCAGCAAAGACAACACAAAAGTTTACTTAGCCATATTAATCTAACTCAAGTTTATTTAGAAAGAACTACAAGTAGGGCCACCTAAGCAATCTCACTAACCACCAACACCAGAGTAGCAAACAGCCTGCACTGACTGGGGAGAAACAGGGCTTAAACAGAGGAAAGGGTGGGAAAAAAAACAAGCTATGTAAGTCCCACTCAAGTCTCTGAGGCTATACAAGTGCCAAGTCCTGACTCTGCTCTCGTGCCCACTAGAAGATACACACCCCTAAGGCCCTATCAGCTTAGACTCCAACCTCAGCCTTCAAAAGCAGACCCTATGTAGTATGGTTTGGATGTGCCCCTCAAAGTTCATATGGTGGAAACATAATCCCCAGTGCAACAGTGTTGAAATATAGGACCCTTAAGAGGCAATTAAGGGGCTGGTGCTGTGTGTAGCAGGTAAAGCTGCCACCTGCAAGTGTCGGCATCCATATGGGCACAGGTTCAAGTCCCAGCTGCTCCACTTCTGATCCAGCTCTCTGCTATGGCCTGGGAAAGCAGTAGAAGATGGCCCAGGTCCTTGGTCCCCTGCACCCACATGGGAGACCCAGAAGAATCTCCTGGCTCCTGGCCTCAGATAGGCTCATCTCTGGCCATTGAGGCCATCTGGGAAGTGAACCAGTGGATGGAAGACCCCTCTCTCTCTCTCTCTCTCCCTCTCTCTCTGCCTCCCTGTAACTCTGCCTTTCAAATAAACATTTTTTTTTAAAAAGAGGCAATTAGGTAATGTGGTCTTTGCAATTATCACAAGAATAAACTAGTTATTACAAGACTTTCTGATAAAAATAGGAGTCTGAGCCCCCTCCACACTGTGTCTCACACACACATGCACACAAGCACCCTCTCTCACCTTTCTGCCTTCCCCCATGGGATGATACAGCAGAAAGGCCCTCACCAGATACAGGTCCCTTAATCTTGGATTTCCCAGCTACCAGAGTTGTAAGAAATAAACCTCTCTTCTTATAAGCTACTCAGCTTCAGGTATTCTGTTATAGCAGCACAAAAATAACTAAGATACTATGTAATGAAAATCCCGGCAACCAATCATTCAAGCATTTTAGCAAATATGAATAGACCCAAACTAGAATCTTAAATGGATGGTGGACCTTATGTTTCTACTCCCCTTCTCTTTCTGGCATTTCTAACAGGTGACTGCATGGCTTTTACTTGAGTATTCTTGATGGCAAACATTCTCTATTCAAAGAGTAGTGTGTTCTACTAATGAACTGCTTCAGAGGAAGCATTCATATGGGCATGGGTTCAAGTCCCAGCAGCTCTGCTTCTGATCTAGCTCTCTGCTTCACTGGTGGGGAGATGACATTTTTATGTTACACACAAATCAGTCTCCCCATGTCTACTCACTGGTTCAAATCCTGTTGTCACAAACCACCTTAACCTTAATGAAAAAGAGAGGCAGAGGGAGAAAGGGATAAGAAAAACATATTCAATTAAGATTGCTTTCCTAATGTTATATTCATGGTGATTAGGAAATAAACCGCCATATTTCAATCCCTTAGATTAAATGAATATTTGTTGCTTAACTATACTCCCATGTCTCCAATAAAGTGATGGGCAAGGAAATTAGAAAGTAATTTTAAAAATCCAACATATGGACCAAAAAAGTTACCCATGGAAGGGGGAGTTTGACAAAGTCTTTGGGCAAAACTTTTCATCTTCTTTAGACTCTTCTGGTGCCACCAATTCTTTCAATTTGCCCACTTGATCTAGCATTGGGTTTGATGGCCATGAAGTTCCAGCCTAGGCTAAGAAAAGATGGGACAAAGGAACTAGACAGACAGCAGGGAAAAAACTGCTTCTCACGTAAAACACAATTTCAATTTATATCGAGGCTAACTTTTGCATCAAACATCCGGGTACATGTCTTGTGGCATCAAAGTACATTTTTAGGTCATTTCTGCTAAACCTGACACAAGTCATACATGGTCTGATAAAACCCAAAGCACAAACCAATGAAGACAGGAGGGATGGATAAGTACAACTCCCTCAAGCGTATGGGCTCACTGATCCTTGAATCTCTGCATGGATGCCTTGTCCCCACCTACTCACTCCTAAAAGTGAAGAAGGTAAAAGTCAGTCCTATCTTTGGAGATTTTCTAGAGGCCCTCAGGGACCCACCATCCACACCTGCTTGCAGGGTGGGGGCTACAGAAGTTCTTCTAATTAAGGTAGCATGAAGTGCACCAGGCAGTCCCCTGGGGTCTTTTTCAAGAAGTGAAACCGCCTGGTAAGGCAGAA